TTTGACATCTGCACTGGATATTTCAAAAGCTTTAACAAGCGCGGAATTTCCTCTTCGAATCTGTTTGGCAAATTATATTGACCATCAAGGTGCCTGTATATAAACTGAAAATAAATGTAAAAAAATATTAGAATCCATATCATTATAATAAATCTCCTTTCATATGTAATTTTGGATATATCTAAATTCTTACTAATCAGTGGATAGAGTGCACTGAAGATTAAAACTCAGTCACAATATCCACAACAGAAGAGAGAGAAAAAAAAATAAACAATACTTAAGTAAATAATAAGTCTAAAACACATACACTGAAGATGTTAGCAAAATCTTTTGTGGAAGGTGTGAGGAGTGTTCTTCGCTGAACCAGTTGTTCATAGCTCCTGCTGACAAGGAAATCCAGAATTTTGTCCACACACTGGCTCTTAAAACTGGAGTCTGTGATGGGGCGGATCTCCTTCCTCACTTTTGTTCCCATGCTGGAGTTGCGCGCTGAATCCATTGACAGTCTGTTAGTGTAATGGGTGAGAATAAGTTCAGGATATAAGATAAAACTGTTCTCTCAAAACATTACCTTATATAAGTCTTGATATATTAGCCCAAATTCTAATCACTTGAAATATGTAGTTGTAAAAGTATTCAAATCTGAAAATGTTATGAAAAAAGAGAAAATCATAGAAATATATATTACATATACAATTTTTTTTTCTTTCCTTCCTCTCTTTTTCATCATTTACTCTTAAAATAACATTCCTCTTTAACGAATATGCAGATTTTTATGAATTTGACAGAGTACTTTTACTATTTGGTAAAGATTTATGTATTCCTAAGCATTGTCATAGAAACAATGAAGTCAAGCCTGCAGTAACTGATGACAAATACATAGTTAAACACCAATATTTCCAGTCTATTTCCTATAAGAAATTGGAAAAAAAAAGAAAAAGAAAAAAAATGTTGCATAAATCCCCTAACAATGAGTCAATTCTATGATGAGAAACTATGCAAACAATACTCTCAAAGCACTACAGAAGAACTCGATCATGCCACTAACCTGCTGACACTGGGAGGAGCCAACATGCTTGAGACGGGGACATTGTTCCTAGTGGGGGTAAATCTTCCCGAAGCGATGGAGAGTCTGCTGAGTCCTTCAGCACTGATGCGCTTACTTCTACTGGCTAGTTTCTTAGCACTGTCTACTTGTGAGGCTTTGGGAAGGTAAGACTTCCTCATCTGTTGCCCTGCACTCCGCCTGAAGTGTCGAAATTACTTTGCTAGCTTGCATAATACAATGTATCAACAAATTCATGCACATGTCATTGCATCGCTAGACCTTATCAAAGAACATACATTTAACTTTTTATATTTATACATAAAAATAGAGCCAATTCAGTAATTACAGTCAAATCTTTTAAAAAGTGGTTTCAAGTATAATGTTTTTATTTACTAGATAGTCCTAACTCACCTGTTATTTGGAGTATTGTCTGTATTTCGAGGTTTCAGGGTTCCAGGGCGCTGAACACTTCCAGCCCCTAAATTTGATTTTCGCATCATTTTGGCCTGGAAATTAAGAAAAACAAACTGAAAGATTATATATTTATTGAACACAAAATGATGGACTGGCCCATACGCCGATTTTGAAGCCACTCGGAAACTTATTTTCAGCTTGAAAATGTACCGGTGCTAGTGGGTCAAAATACTGATAGCTTTTCATTTTGGGCTCTGAGACACTTGTGTGTCAAATAATCATTTTTTTGAGCTGCGTAGAAAGTATAGAAGATGAGTTCCTCAGAATCACTCCTTCTATTGTTTGCAAATATCCTTTTCCGTTTAAAAGAAGGCTGTATGAAACTGGACTGGCACCCATTTCCAATTTCCTTGGTGCCTTACATACCCTCCCTTAATATTGGGGTTAGGTATGTGAGATGTGGTTTTCTACAGCAAAATCCCTCCCAAATTGAGTACTATACGGTAAAATAAATAATTAGCAACGGTACCGTAGTGATTCGGTGCGCAAGTCTTTAAAACATTTTCTCGCAAGATACACATGCATGAAAAGTGGGAAGATTGGAGCTGTCATTTTGATTTCACAAGAAATCGTATATAATCCCTACTCTTACTGCATATAAATTATTTCTTTATATTCCTGGGGATTTAAAGGGTTTAAAACAACATGAGAAAACGAGAATTTGGGAAAAATACTTACAAAATCGTGACTTTTTGCTCACAATGACACTGTCAAGCTTTGTTTACAAGTTTGAATTCGCGTTCGTTGGAAGATAAAATAAGTATTTATAAACCAAAGTATTGGGTTTTTAATCCTTAAAATAAATTTATATACATCACTTTATTTTCACATTTTCATCGGAGTATCTAGAAGTTCATTTCTGTTCGGAATAAAAATAAATAATGATGCAATTCATTTTGAAAGCGATTTCAAATGTTGATTTTACGTTAAATCTCACAACTCTCATTTATCAGACGCTTTCTTTTAACAAATGTATCAATTTATTACTAATGTAGCCTTCGTCTTTAAACAAAAAGTCAATTGTATATAGAATACTGCTGTAAACAAGATCCAAACTGACATGTAAGAACTTGTAGGCATCCCCCCCCCCCCAAACACAGACAGGCAGGCAGAGACAGATAGACGCGCGCGACGCACGCACACGCGCACACAAACACACACACCACAACACACACAAACACAACCACCACACACACAACACACACACAAACACAACACACATACACGCACAAAATCACACACATACGCACACAAATCACAACAATCACACACATACAGACACATGTAAACAATCACACGCAGACTGACTCATATAAACAATCACACAGACAGACACACACATACACAATCACACCGCATACACACGATCACACACAGGCAGGCAGGCAGACAGACTAGACACACAGATACATACATACACTTATACATACATTTATATATACAATAATACTATATATATATAATATATATATATTATATATTATATAATATATATATATATATATATAATATATTATATGTGTGTGTGTGTGTGTGTGTGTGTGTGTGTGTGTGTGTGTGTGTGTGTGTGTGTGTGTGTGTGTGTATATATATACACACACACTATATATATATATATATATATATATATATTATATATATATATATATATATATGTATGTATGTATATGTATGTATGTATACAAGTTATGCCTCAAATTTAGACCTATCAACAATTTTCGTTGCTACTTTACTGTCGTAATTTAATCAAAGGTTATTTCAGAGAGATTTAATATAAGTTGTGGCCACTAAAGTTCCAGATCGGCCTGGCATTATTCAGCACTAATTCTGGGTCTTAAAGTGAATTAATTTACTCTCATTCTCATATGGCAATATCATGGATACGTCCATTCATATGCATCCTTATTCTTCAAGACTTATGGGTTAAACCGTATCCATATTGACCAATGTAGAAAAGGTATGAATGAGACTGGATATCTTCACAATACAAGAGATGTATTTGACCGGTTTCGATTACGTCTTCATCCGAAATACACAAAATAAAATGGGTTCTTGTTTAACAAATATTGTATTTCTCATGTCGATGGACTTCGAGTGATTTCACAAGTTTAAGTGTAGTTTCTTTTTGTTTCGTCTCTTTTTCTTTTTGTTCAGCCCAGCCCGTGTCTCTGTGGTGTGGTTCCCTTCTTTGTTCAGTGTCATATTCTATATGAATGACAAAATGGGATGATATGCACTGTGTACAAAAAGAACTTACAAAATGATGGGTCGATCTTGTCTCGTCTCTGTCATGTAGCTCCTTTATTTATTATGCCATAGATGGAAAGTGTCTTCGTTTGCGTCAAAGTAACCATTCCATATCTTTTTTTTTTTTTTTTTTTTACTCAATTCCTGATTGCTATCCCTGTAATTTTACCGTAAATTTACCCCCATTTTCTTAATAAATTCCCGTAGTCAACACCCATCCCCCTTCGCTCCATGACGCTCCAAAGTGAACTGCCTCCAGTAAGGTTAGACCAAAGAAATTAGGAACCGCTAGTCTTGCCAGGTCACCAAGACAGAGTTGGTTGTTCGGTGTGTGGATGCTGAAGTGGCAGTTTGAGAACGCGACTTGGAATTTTGGGTTACCGCGAGTGAAAGTAACCACCAAGATTGTCCACATGTAACATAACAAGTAACACAAGTAACCTCTTAACATAAACACAGCTCCTACAACTACGGCCTCACTACCACCAAACTCTTATTTTGTGGTTTTATTCCCTCAGGATTTTATGTCATCATATCTAATTAAGGGTTACGTTTTACCAATTAATGCATTAATGACAGCATAATTAAGGTGTCACTGCTTCTAGCCGATGACATACTCCTCGCTTAATCACGGATCCTCGAGTGACCGCGAGTCGCTATGGGTGCACATCTATCGGCTTCAGCTGGTCACATTCCATTACGTATGTATATACATGTACACACATATATATATGTATAATATATATATATATATATATATATATATATATATAATATATATATATATATATGTGTGTGTGTGTGTGTGTGTGTGTGTGTGTGTGTGTGTGTGTGCGCGCGTGTATATTATATATATATATGTACATCATCATTACTAGCAATTTTTTAATTATCCTTGTCATTATCATTATTATTATATCATTATCATCCGTCTCATAGTTAATATATTAGTATTACTGTTTTTACTATCATTATTACTACTACCAATAATCATTATAATCATTATTATCATTATGATTATTATCATTACATGATTACTATCATTTTCATTATTGTTATTCTTATCATTATGATCATAATCTTGATTTCTTAGCCGTCCTGAAGGTGCTGTCACACGCACTTTTTTCCATTTTTTGACAATTTTATGAAATTTTCTCCATTTTTGAACGAATTGTCGATTCTCCAGTCAGACAATAATGATCGTTTCCGTCTGAAAACCTTTCCGTCAACTTTTCAGCCAAGCATAGTCAAATCAAGAGCTATATTCGAGAATGTTTGTATTTGTGTTAATAAAATTGTCAAAAAAAATGACGGACACAGTGCTAGTGTGACACGGCATTTACAGATGGACGTAGTCTTCGATGAGCCGTCTCCACCGGCTCTATCTCCTACCAAGTTATTCAAATTCTTCTCTTTCATGTCTACTGCTAATTCATCGTTCCAACTTGTCTCGAGTCTTCCTCTCCTCCTCTTCCAGCATCCACATATCTATACTCTCTCCTCCTCATCGCTTCATCGCCCTTCATATCAACAATATCTCACGGTACCTTCCTGTAACTTCTTTGACACGATCACCACCTGTGCTGTTCTGTGCCACAGCATTGCTGAGATCCTGTCCCTCTTCGTCACTCCAAACATTTGATCGTAAATTCACCTTTCAGCCACTACCCCCTCTTTCGTTTGTTTGGTTTCTTCACGGATAGTACATCAAGGTCTATATAAGTTATACTTTATAGTACTATACTTATATAGACCTTGAGTACATCTGCCTTATACGTTTTTGCACGCCTTATAAGTCCTACATTCTTTCCCTTCTATCTTTATTTTCCTGTCGCGCAAACCTTCTGATACAGCTTTAAATTTCCCATCCTACTTGGATTCTTGCAGATATTTCTCTCTCAACATTACCTCCCAGGCATGAAACCAAACTGATTTCAGGACTCCTCTACCTTATAGAGTGGACCCTAAGTATTCAAATGCATCCACACTCTTCAGTTCTAACTCATCCAGCGCAATGCCTTCCCGTCTCCCCTGTCACTGATCTGTAAACATCTTATATTCACAGTCTTACTCTGCTTATTTCCGTTGGCCAATCCGCCAATCTGTGCTCTAACCCTTCTTGGACTCATCCGACAAAACCACGTCAACATACATCATGTCCCACCAATACAACGTTGAAGAAGAGTCCTGAGACAGTCCTTTTCAACTCGTGTCTATTACACCTGCTCCACTCTCCGGTCGTGTCGTGGCATTTCTATACAGTCCTTAGATCAATCTTATTTTTCCGAAACCCTGCTCTCTCTCTCTCTCTCTCTCTCTCTCTCTCTTCTCTCTCTCTCTCTCTCTCTCTCTCTCTCTCTCTTCGCTTCTCTCTCTCTCTCTCTCTCTCTCTCTCTCTCTCTTCTCTCTCTCTCTCTCTCTCTCAAACTTCACAGCTCCTGTCTCGCTATCCTTTGATAAGCCCTCTCCAAATCTATATATACACCATGTGAAATTATTTTGGCATCTCTGTATACTTTTCCGCCATCTGCCTAAATATGAACCTTGCGCGTGGCCCCCTTTCCAAACTGACCTCTGACCACTCTTTCCTGCCTCAGCTTCGCCTCCATTACCCAGGTCTTCCTGGTGTGTAGCAGTTCTCGTGCTCTTGAATATCCCCTTTCTCCTTGAGTGGCACCAGCACTCTCCCCCACTCCTCATGGATCTATTGCTGTTCTTCTATCTTCCACATTGAGCTCCACAACTAATCCACTCCGCCTCTCCCAGGGCTCTCCACGTCTCCACTGGCATGTCATTTGGTCCAAAAGTCTCGTTGTTTTTCATCCTTTAAAGTGCTCTTACCACTTTTGTTCTATCCATTGGAGAGGGGACATTGATGGGTTGGCGAGCGAAGTGAACATTCTTTTCTACGTGGCCATTCAGATCCACATCCATCACCACCCTTTCCTCCACAGTAGTTCTATTCACTTCAGTTACTAGCTTTCTCCAGAACTCTTCTTTTTACTCGTCTGTTTGCTTCAGACTGAAGTGCACAATCACATTCCCATATACTAGTCTTACTGTGATCAGCCTCTTTCCTCTTTTCACCTGTCACATATTCTTTCATTTTCTGCGGTACCACTGTTCCAGCTCCATTCCTTCCTTCTGTCACACCGCCACAGTACAGTTTGTATTCTTCTCCAAATTATCCAGCCTCGTTGCCTCTCTGCCCCCTGCACTCACATTATGCTCACCCTTCTCTTCCAGCCGGTTTGTTAGTTAGGTTAGGTTTGGTTTGGTTTGGTTTGGTTAGGTTGGTTAGGTTAGTTAAAATTGTGCCAGGCCCGATCCAATGAATTTTCATAAATACAGATGCAGAAATAAAGGCACATCTGTCTAAATATCGATAGACATACATTTAACCATCTATTTACCGGGTTGTTATACATGTCTAGACTGATAGACATGCATTTATTTCTTTATTTATGTTTGTAAGGTATACGAATTATTCTTTGGGTCGGGCCTCGCACAATTCTAACATACCGGCCGTTCATCAGCTGCACCACAGCTGTTCCCTGACCACTGAAGACTCTACCATATAGGCAACAGGATCTTCTTTAGCCTTGATCTCCACAGAGGTCAGGCGAGAGCTTTGTATATCGCTTAGAACAAGGCATTATTTGGTATTGCTTAATTTTTACTCGGTATTGGTTTTGCCTTCTTTTGGTGAATTTTTAATGGAGTAAAATTCA